TCCCGGTCGGTCGAAGAGCTCCGTGGCGTATCGCCTAATGCACGCCCACGCTGCTTTGCTCCTGTGGTTGATCTCTCGGGTGAGGTCGCCCTGCTCGTTGATGAGGCCGCCCAGGTATCGGAACTCGGTCGTCTGTTTGCTGATGTTCAATTGGCACCAGGGGATGGCATGCAACCCGCAACAGGAGGTGGCGTCCCATCCTCCAAATTGGAGTCATGTGTGCTGGTAGTGTGTGGATAGCATGTGAGATCGTATGTCTGCAGAATGAGGTCAAACAGGTATGTTACACAAACCATGGCATACGGAAGAAAGTTGGAATTGTCGAGTGGTTTGCGTCTTTACGGACGTGCGCCCCACCGTCATCTCGCCAGTAAGCGCCGCGGAATCGTGCGCTTGTAGAAATGTGTAGTGTCGAGTTGCCCTTACTCAAGGATCGTCTACAGGCGGTAGCCTGTGTGCGGTCGTGAGACTGAAGTTGGTATCGTTGTTGCATCAGTGGAACTTTCATTATTGGATTATTTTCCTGCCGGTGGCACCGGGGCCTATCATAGCTCAGTTGAAAAGATCGGTATGTAGAAGCGGGATACGAGTGAGGCTGGTGGGGATCGCAATACCTCGTGATCTCGCTACAATTACAATCCTCTGATCAACAATCAATTCATTCACGAGCTCCTCGCTACATGTTACGTTACGTGATCACACCGCATGTGCGTATCATTGCGTACAGCAATCGACGCATCTTACTGCACACATCCTACAGCAGCAATGCGCTGTATTTCAACACCGCTTTGCTGTACGGGCAATGGTATCAGCATATGCGTATTTTCGTATTTTCATCCACAAAATAAAAAACTATTGAATGATATATGTAGGGCAAGTTACTGACAAGAATAGTTCAATTTCGGCAATGTAGTCCACATATATGCGTCGAAAGTACTTCTGCTATATAAGAACAGAATGATGCCTAGAGAACGAGAGAAGGTTTCTTTGTCGCCCTGATATGTGCTGATTTTCCTACACCTCTCTCTCTCTCTCTCTTTTCCTGTCTATCTCTTCTCTCTTCCCTTATGGTATCAGGCAAACCTACTCAAGCTTGCAGCGGCCAAAGCGGAGTTCGTTTCTGAGCGATTCGGAAGGGTCGAGGGGAGCATTTGGCAGCTGCAAGCGTTTGCGGAGCTGGCCGTTTTGGCCGTTCTGGAGACGATGACGGTCGACTCGTACTTGACCAGCTATTCGGGACTTCTACAATCAATCAAGGACTACCCTCCACCATAGTGTTTGACGAGTGGGTGTATTTGTCTGTCATACCTGCATACACTCAACCCAGAGACTTATGGTACAATCATTTTCCAAGGCGTGCAGCAGCAAGCTCCTTTCGAATGACTCTGGTTGGCAGGGGTGTTGTCCTGGCGTGTTACAGCCCCAACACGCCGCGGTTTCGCATAATGTTCACTGCTCGGTGTGAAATAATAAGCGTGCTTGGCAGAACTCAACGCACCTGGCTTTTTTAAGCCTCTCATCTCTGACAACTCTTCAGGGCGATCCCCCCCCCCCCCCCCCCCNGGCTTTTTTAAGCCTCTCATCTCTGACAACTCTTCAGGGCGATCCCCCCCCCCCCTCCGCCATTCTCTACTCTCGACTTGTCCAAGTAACGTGCGTATCGAACACCGGTGTTACATATACTTGCAGCGGTATCTGGTCGTGAGGATCCCAAAGGGATACGTGTTGGGAGTTTCGTGTGTTGTAGGGTACCACCGGTGCAGTCACGGGGACCCTTTTGGCGCGGTTGGTACGATGAGGCTTGCC